AAATTAGCCAATCTAAAATAAGACCTGCCCACATTTCTCCACGTCTGAGCAGAATCTCCGAGAGTAGGGGTGTGTTCGAATTGTCCCTCCTATCTCCTTTCACTATCCACTTTACCTTACCCCAGGGAAAACGTCATGAGGTTAAGGAAAGATGTTAGGAGAATTCATAAAGGACTTAGTGAAAGGCAAAGGTTAATGACATGGGTCCGCCGTGTTGAAACTACAATGTTCCGAAAATGGACAACAAAAAACGCATCTAAAAAACTTTCTCCTGTGCCTTCTTACCGGTGAAATAATCCTAATCACCACAAGGTTGGGATTGAAATAAAAGAAATATAGACTACCAGGCTACAAGTAACAAAAGTGAAACCATCACCTTCCTGTCCACTCAGAAATCAACATAAAAATAAGTATGAAATTAATTGTTAGATTTATGCAAGACAAGAATGTACAACTGAAGAAATGCACAAAACATTCTGAATTGAATGAAATATGTTGAATAAAAGAAGAAGAAGAGGAAGATTTACTTTATTGATCCATGTGAGGGGAAATTTCAGTTTTTACACTCTGTATTCATGCAACACACACATAGGCTGAGGTATATACATACATGCACACAGACAGGATCATATGGACATGCACTAATGGAGAGATGTCAGAGTGATGGAGCTGCCCACGGTGGGCGCTCCTGAGCTGATGGTGGGGAGGGGGTTTGGTGCCTTGCTCAAGGGCACCTTGGCAGTGCTCAGAGGGTGATCTGGCACCTCTCCAGCTACCAGACCAACTACCAAAGTTGGTCTGCACTGGGACTTGAACCGGCGACCCCTGAAAGACAGGGTGATGTTTTTTATGGTGATTATAATCTGATTAAATGGCTTTGCATAATATCTCAAGAACCTTAATCAAGGCAAGGGTTTCAGCATCTGTGACTGAAGGAAAGTTTAACGTTATTTATGATATTGCTTACGGCTGCCAAAACACTCAAAGTGGATAAATAACGAATGCAAACTGAGCGTAGGCTGCAATAAAAGTTAAACTCAACATAACGTTCATAGTTCGCCTACAGGTTAAAGATTGTTGAAAGTTGTTTAAGGCATATTATTGCAATGGTAACTTACATGAGCTCCATCCCTTTTCGGTCATCGCTAATGTTTGTGAACGGTCGGATGTGCGAGTCGCAAGGAATTGTGGGGCGTCAAATCGCATCTCCTTTCATAAAGGATGGTCCAGTGTATCCTATGCTAAAGGAGGTTATAAAGGAAGCATTGACCTACCTTTCCTTAACTTTTAGAGAATTCGAACGGCTCTTATCATGACCGCCTCTTAAATGCTTCCGGGGTTAAGGCAAAGTGAATAGTGAAAGGAGATAGGAGGAAGAATTCGAACGCACCCTAGTTCTTTTTGGAACGAGACGGAGTGACGGTGGCTGCATGGAGTTACTTTACATGAGAAAAAGTTGTTGAAGTGATTTGTGTTCCTTGTTACGTGTTCCAAAGAGCACCGTTCATTTAACTAAACCCTTGGTAAGTCAAATTTAATTTAAGACTTGATCGTAATGTGTGTGAGCGAAATAAATGCTAACATTAGCTACCGCTAGTTAGCTTGTTAGTTTGTTAGTTTGTTAGCTCGTGAGTGGAACGTTCGTCAGAGCGGCTTTGATGTGCTGTGACTGGAGGTAGCAGGCAGTGAGAGGCTCCTCGTTGGAGCTGCAGTCTGCGTGCGGGCTGTAGTTTTGGCGGTGGACTTGCTATTGTTTGTAGTCTGATGTTGTAGTATGTTCAAGTGCCGCTGATCACAGGAAAAATGAATTGTTTACATATGGTTATGAATGAGAGTACAAGTGCTGTAATCTAATGATCAAGTTAACTGTATTAAATATAGGTTAATCTGAATAAGATGACAAATGATTTGGTGTTAAATTTGTTTATTGAAAAGAATGTGACATACAGTGTGTTTTACATTGTATTTCATCTGAGTCCTTTGTCATAGATGACAAACGCTGTTGATATTTAATGTGTAATTTAAAGTTCAAGCATTAATTAGGCTTTTAACTGTTTTTGTTAAGGCCGGGGTTTTTTTTGAGTTGGAGAAGAAAGATTCCATGATCCCTGGTTGTCTGCAACCTGCTCATCCTCCCTGGAGTGTTGTGGTCGTTTGCAGTCTGGAGAGCCATCCATCCATTTTTGAACCCTGAAAGGAAGGAACAGTTTATTTTCCCATCTACGTTGGTGGTAGGACTATAGACTTTGATTTAAACAACCATAAGGACCCGAGTACATCTTTGTTGTTTGTTTTTTTGGAATTATTGTTGTCCATCTTGGGGTTACAGTGATAAGGTTCCTTAATGCCATTGTAGAACGAATTTAGGTTTCAAAATAAAAGTCCTGGTTTCAAAATAAAAGATCTAAAATAGTAAATCAACTAACCCCCATAATATTTAAAACATTAATCAAAACAAACTAGTATTAAGAAGGTCTAAACATAATAATAAAACCAAAAGTACCATAAAGTAAACAGCTTTAAACTAAGTAATAGGACCAGGACCACCCAAAAAGATCAAAACAAAGGTTTTATTGTGATGATATTGTTGAATATTGTCTAATGTTTGTCTGTGTTGTGAAAGGAAAAAAGGAATATTGTAACTCGTAAACCAACTAACGTGGAAAAAAAAAAGAGAATAAATGTTCTAGATTGTACTTCCCTTTCAAATGATCCCGCGTCTGTATCTTGTTTCACCTGTGTCTGGTCGGTATCCATTTTCTCCTGAGCGAACCTAACTTCTGATGCGCTGGTCCAAGCTGAAATTCCTCTCATTGGCAGTATAGAGGTTTGATTGAAGTTTTTACTTTATTCATATCTGTGCTCAGTATCCAAAAACGGAACCTTGGGTTTCACCTACTTTACTTCTGTTGAACCCGTTTTTGCAGATTAAGAGCTGTGTGATCAAGCTTTCAATATAAAAGAAACAACATCTGGTTAAACTTTGGAAACACGGCTGCAAAGTCAGAAATATGAAATAAGTAACAACTAGACTTTTATAGTAAGCTAGCAGACAAACAAGTTTTGAACAAGTTTATTTCTACATTTGCATGGGACCTACTCGGGATGCCTGGCTTTTGCAGCCAGCCTCAAGTGGACGATGGAGGAGTTGCAGCTTTTATCTTCAGCTTCATTTTTCAACACCGGGGGGTTGCCACTTGATTGTTTTTGTGAATCAAGCCTGTGTCTCTTAAAAAGAAAACATGTTTGTTTGACCCATCTAATGCCCCCTACAGCCATTCTGATAAAACCTCTCCTAACTTCATACTATACCGACTGACTTCAACTCTTTCGAAAGAAGTGTCCCTTCAGGAGTGTGCAGCATCACATTTCTTAGATGACCAGGCTGCAGTAGTGAGAATGTGTCGGCGAGTCAAGAGCTTTTCTTGTTTTCTGTGCACTAGCATGACAAAGTGGCACATGGATGTTTTTGGGGGGAGCCTGCTATAAGCCTAAAGTCTTGTTATGACTTTCCTTCATGTGTCTGCACTTAAGGGCCTCATGGGGACGGGGGATCAGGGCCAGGAGCCACTGCCGAGGGGTGGTTGAGTTCAAGAGGCTGCATGTGTTGGTATTCATTGCTCTCCTTCTCTTTCAGGCTGTAACACTGCTGCGTCAACATATCTTTATGGTTCCTAGACAGAGGCAGAGGACCCAGCTATCGTTCAAAGTTTGCCTGGAGCTTTTGAGCGCATGTTTTATAACCTCTTGTCGTTATACGATAGTGCGGCTCTAAGATTAAAACCCTCCCTGCGCATTTGAAACAGCTGATTTATGTCTGGTCCTGGACACTTGTACTCTGTGGCTGGAATGCAGGGAATTTCAAAGACCCCTCCTCTGTCTGTCCAGTCCACACGCAAACAAATGGAGCAGGCGCCTGGTTGGGCAGATGAAGGCCCACCGGTGCTCCCACTGCAAGGCCGGGAGGCAGAATGTGAAGAATGTCAGAGGCGAGAAAATAAATCTATTCTATCCTTCTTTCTGTCAATCTGATGCTCTCTTCCCCTCTCTGTTGTTTGTCTTGTTCCTGTTGTGCTATCCCTTACTTCTGATTTTCTGGGAACTAATGCTGGCCTCACAGAAAACATTTCAAGTGATTTCAAAGTCAGAGCGCTTGCAAGAGTTATGTGTGTTCCTTGGATCTTGAATGTTTGGTGTCAGGTCGTCCTGAAACTCAATCTGAACTGTTTTAAAGCAATCTTTCTCTCATCTTGGTGTTAGGAACAAATCATGTCTAATTTGATCTTAAGTCTTGTCTTATGCAATGATGTGACCGTGGTCAACAACAAATAGAAGTGGCACCAAACAGGAAGCTGCAAACTAAATATTGGACGGGAGGCGGAAAAACATGCAGTTCTCCTTGAATGTGGAAAAGTTGGAGAAACTGGTGGGAGTTTTGGAGAGAGCAAGAATTCTTCTCTGACATGTATTTACCCTTTACTCCAGGAAAGAGTGAAAAAGAAAAATGTGGACAGAAATAGCTGCAGCCCTCATTATCCCCTGTGAGTCTGATTTGGCTAGCTAACAGCTAGCTATAGCATACTCACTGGTAATGATCCTCCAGAAGGTTTACCTACAGAAACCTTGTTACGACTTTGACTTCCTCTAGATTGTCAAGTTTGATCATCTTCTTGTGGTACAAAGGGGAGAACAAAGAGGCATTCTTGCTCTCTCCACAACTCCACCAGCTTCTCCTCCTTTTCAATTTGAGTCCAAGTTGTACATTTCCTCCATGTGCATGATGTGAAGTATTAGCAAAAGGAATCAAGTTGCAGTGTTGCTCTTGCAGATCCAGAGTCTTTGCAAAATCTAAATCTAAAAACTATGTGAGTTGTTGACACAAAGTCCTAAGATGTGAGAGGGTGTCGTGTCAGACGTTAATCTTTTTCAAAGTCTTCTAGTGTACGGGAGGCATAACTCCTCCGTCTGGTACATACACAAACGTTCTTCAAGACATTTGCCAGAATAGGACAAAAATTAATTTATTTGTGTTGCAATTCTTAAAAACACAAATATGCATAGTGTTCTCTTGTTGGCAAATGAATGATGTGACAAACAAAATAAAGATTTGTTAAACACACTTATAGTCACAAAATGTTCAAGACGGTGTAAAAAAAAAAAAGAAGAAGCAAAGGACCTCAAACATATCGTGAATATAGCGTGGAAGTCAACATCAGAACACCAATCTATCATTTCTACAGTCAAAGGCACGATGGCTGTGTTTAAGCTGTAACTCAAGAGTTCATGCATCTTAAACATGCGGCGAAAAGAGAAGAATGAACACTCCATAGAAGCTTGTATCGTTACATGTTTGGACAGTAAAAAACATAAGCAGCTCTGTCTATTGCAGCTCATCTTCATCTCAGTGATATATCCAGACACCATTTTGATTGCTTTTTGAGTCTCTCTCCACTCATGGCTTTAGTTTAACAATTCCCTTTCTCCTTCCCTGGCTCTCGCTGCAGCTCAAGGCCTGCTCTTTGCTGCGGGTTTATCCATTATGTTGAGCACCTCATCCAGGATGGACGGGCCCAGATCGAGTTCAAGGGAAAGGAACGACCCTGTGACCTGGGCGAGGGAATCCTGTGACGTGCTCTTCTCTTTGGAAAACTCAAACTCATAATCACAGATGCGGCCCTCCTCCACCCCACTGTCCCTGTCCACCCACTCTCCATTGTACTTTGAGAGCCCCTGCTTGAATCCCTCGGTAATGTCATTGTTAAAGTGTCCATAACCATTGCAGTTTCCGTTGTTGCTGTAGACTTTGTTGGGGAAATCTTTGCCGTTCAGGCTGTCGAAGCTGTCGCTGCTCGTGTCGCTGGTCAGGCTGCCGTTAGCTTTGAAGGAGCCGTTGCTGTGATTGTTGATGTAGTAGGATGTGGGCTTGTCAAACCTCTTTTCGCTCTTGTTTATTTTGTTTGCTTTGGCGACTGCTTTGGAGGTGGACTCCCTGTTCTCCAGCAGGTCCAGGAGGACATCAGGCTTAGACTGGATCTCCGGGGCGGGAGAGGAAGGCTCGCTGCCGAAGACGTCCATGGAGCGCAAAAGAGCTTCCATCTGCAGGATCTCTACCTCCTCTGTGCTGCCGGGTTTCATGGGTGCTGTAGGCCTGATGATGTCCTCCAGGGGCTCAGGGGGCAGTGAGAACACAGTGGAGGAGATCATGGGAAGAGTAAGCGCCTGGCAGCCTCCAATAGTTGGAAGGGAGATGGCGTTTTTGAGAACTGGAGAAGGGGTCTCTGCAAAAGAAGCATCTCCAGTGCTGTTAGCTCTCATAAACTCACTTTGGACACCGTACTGAGGGTGGACGTCTCCCTTTCCTGGTAAGAGTTCATACTTCCCCTGCAGAAAGGACATATCTCCAAAGGCATCTCTCTCCCCGCCCTTCCCAATGTGGATGGTGTGGCGGAAGTCCCCGAGCGGCGGACTGATCATGTCCGGGGACAAAATATCTCTCAGGCGACATTTCTTCCCCTTCTTGTTATTGGTTGGTTTCAGGTAAATGGGCGCTTTGCTGGCATGGCTGCAGCTGGAGAGGAAGAGCTCAGATGTGGGGTGACGAAAAAGTCAGAAATGCTGTAAAAGCTCTGGATGTTACAGTTCCCCTGAGGAGGGGCTCCAGTTACATTCTCAGCCGGTCTGTCAGGACTCCAAAAATAATCTCAGCATCGATCAGGAAATTAGAATCCAAGACCTCGAATGGCTTCTGTCCTGAAATGAAACACAAACAAAGAACGTGTCAGCATATTTTTAAAACATGAACCCTGCGCTGACAAATTTCCCTGAGTAGGAATGTAACAATACACTCAACTCACAACAGGAAATGTCTGGATACTGGGCTCACAACAGGATTTTATCAGGAAGTTTTACTGATTTTTAAAAATACATGAGATGACAATTTACCAAAAGCGATTATACACATTACATTTAAATTGACAATAAAATAAATTCAAGTCATTCTTTCACCTATATAGGTTCTATAGTTACTGATATACAAATAACATTTAAAAAAATCTATAAAAAGTGACACTGAAAACATTTTACACTAAGAAATATTTGTTTAAAACTGTGTTTCACGCACAGAAGCGAAGAAATCTTCTAAAAGACATTGAAGTTTTTCCTCCTAATTTAAGTTTTTATTTTTAGACGTGTTAACTGTCAGCCCAAATACTTCAAACACTACAGCATGTAATAATCCTTCTGGCTCTCCCTGGTTTCTGTGAGCTTAGCTTTGGGTTTAGGGGTTTCAAATTTGCTTCCCAGTGTATATAATTAACTTTTTATGCTGTCTTGAGCTTTGCCGTTTTATGTGCTACATCATGTTGGTTGTACTATTTGTGTTGTTCGTCTTTTCTGCTCAGCATGCATCCACACTCCCAAACAAAACTCATTTTAAATACTGGTTTTAAAAAAAACGAGTATTACAATATATTTATGTCTAATGGATTTGAATTGTCCATACTGGTATCGACTTTAAATCATTTTGTGAGATATCATTGCATCCCTATCCTCAAGGTTACTTTGTGCCACCACTTCTGATCCAAAACTCCAATCCTGCCCTCTAGAAAAACAAATCCGATCACTAATACAAGTCCCACAAATAAACTCTGAATCCTGCAAAAAATATATATATCCGGTCCTTGCATCTGGCGAGCGTAGAAGCCAGAGCAGAAGAGGCCGCGGCCTGGGTCGAAGGCTTTTTTGCTGCTCTATTCACAATTCCACACATGAGCCTCCTTTGGCCCCCAAGACTGTAGATGTGCTAATGTGGAACAGCTGGAACGCAGATTGGGAGCAGAGATGCAAAGCAGGACTTTGGTTGGATCAGAGCAGGGCGGCCTGTTTTAGGGAACGAGCTACTGCTCAGACACGCACGAGAGATAGAGAGAGGAGAAAGAGGGGCGAAAAGGGGGGGTTGGCGGGGGGATTATGCCGAGGGATTACCCGAGCGAGAGGGATTTAAGAAAGAAGGTGATGCAGATTGAGGATTGATTTGGCTTCAGTGCGAAGAGACTGGACTCCCAAGTTTCAAAGTGCAGAGATTCCAGCTGGGTTAGTTGAAAGTAATGAAGATGAGATTGGAGGTGCCTGATTGGATGAGGCGTTCGCATTCAAACCTAAATGAATGTCATCAAATTGGCAGCCAGCTACATGCAGGATGATCTCGGAATAAATAAGGAGAGGACGGTTAGAAATCAAGGAGAAAGGAAAAAAAACCCTTGATGGAGGAAGGGAGTGACAGTGCGTTTTTCTGTGTGTGTGTGTGTGTGTGTGTGTGTGTGTGTGTGTGTGTGTGTGTGTGTGTGTGTGTGTGTGTGTGTGTGTGTGTGTGTGTGTGTGTGTGTGTGTGTGTGTGTGTGTGCGTGTGTGTGTGTGTGGGTAGGTGGGAGAGAGCACCAGTGAGGAGAGAGCTTGCCCATTTATAGACATATTTACTTATGCGAGGTCCGTCAGCGGTGACCGTCTGACAGAGAGCACCGCTGCACAGAAAGAGCCTGTGCGGTCAAGTCCAAAAGAGAAGGTTTCACTGAGAAAACATCCACATTCCTGCTGCGACCGACCCCACAGAGACACACGGCATCGGACCTTATCAGAGGCACTTAAAGTCGGCTATGTTTATTCAGCAGGCACATTAGTGAGGAGACACAGAGACACACGCTGCAGATTTGAATCCTAACAGCAGGCTGGAAAGCATTCACTGACATCCATTTTCAACATGGACTCTCTTGTGTTGCCAACCTGTTTGATGAAAAGCCTCATGAGAGTCACCGCAGGCTTCTTCTTACCGAGCACTTTTCAGTCGGGGCAAGTTTCTTACTGATCTTAAAGCTCCTGGGAGAAGTTTTACCAGGTTATAAAAACAGACTGAAGCTAATAGTGACGCCTCTATAAGAGCTTCAAAAGCGAAGCAGGCCAGATTTCTTCTTTCTATTTAGTTTATTTCAGTGGATGAAATCATTGCTATGTCAGGTAGGTGTCAGACGAAGTAACGGACATCTTGCTGCTGGAACAACCTATTCTGGCAAATATTTTCACAGCAGTATGTTTGATTACATCAATCAAATTATAATTCAATGGACTCCTTCTCTCAGGCAGAATCCAAAGACAACATGAATCACTTAAGGCAAATGTTTGGCAAAATCTGAATTAATTCAGGCCTTATTTTTCTACTTGTAATCTTGAAAAAAGATGTTTACCTTGACTTGTCAGGTGAATTTGGCTAATAATGTAATGCAATATTTTTGACCTAAAAACAGACAAATCTGCTTGCTTATTTTTGAGTTTTAGCATTTTTTAATCATGGCAAACAAAGACTATCAAACGATCTTTTTTTGCCTTTTTCCCTGTTTTTAATATATTATGCAGTAAAGTAACTACAAGTTGAAATTTAGGAGCTGTCATTACAACACAAATAAACCTGTCACCCTGCAAGCGCTATGCTGCTATACATAGAGATGCCAAACACCGAGGGATGCAGAACATGTGTGACTGTGCTGAATGGCATCGCCGCTCTCTCAGGGTTGGTCCTTGTGTATTCGAGTGTTGATGCGAGTGTCAGTGTAAGCACGAGGTGAGAGATAGCAGTTTTGAATGCAGGCCATGTGTGCAGAGGAGAGCGTGACTGTTTGCTAATAGAGAGGGAGAGAAAGGGAAGTGAGGAGGAGGAGGAAGGGGGAGAAGTGCTGCAGTGTTTGATGAACGGGAGGGGGTTAGCATCAAATCCTTCACTTGTTTAGCTCAACCTTTTTTCTCCCTCCCACTTCTTTCTCTCTGCTCCTCAGTCCTGTCTGACCTTGACAGCTGATGCTCGCTGCAGAGGGAGATTGGGGTTTTGGATAGAGAGAGAGAGAGAGAGAGAGAGAGAGAGAGAAAGAAATGCACCAACAAGCCAAAAGCTTCTTCCTGTGGGCTTACTGTGCATGTTTTTACTTCCGTATTAACATTTGTGATATTTCTCAAGAATCGAAGGTCGCCCCTGCACTTCTGGCTGAAACACTTCCGATCAAACATTCCTGTTGATGATGGGTTCCCCCTGATGAAATAAAAACATCTGCTTGGTCCTTGTGGACCCTTTGCTCTTCTTTGGCATCACAAAACCATCCCTCTCTCTCTTCCAACTGGTCAAATAAGGGAGCAGTTCACTACCTTTCACTTCAAGTTATCAGGAGCTAAGAACCACTTGTGTGTCTTTTTAGACACTGGCTTTGATTTAGTTGTATTTATTTGCCGAATAATGTCAGGCGCGTTACTCAGTATGTTCACACAATGTTAGGGAAGTCGATTTAATGAGTTAGACTGACTAAAAACAGAAATATGTGTCGAAAAAATAAGGAAGAAAATGAGGCTATGAAAGCCGACACAACACAATGTTATGCTAACAGAAGTCTAACAGCATTAAAGAACCTTGAAACCATACTCGGCTGTGTTGAATATTATGCAGCAACTTTAAGCGGGAAGAAAACCCAATGAAGGTATCGACATGGCTAGTGCCTAGAGTCAGACATACACCCATCAATAAATAGATTCTCCCCCTGTGCTTGTACTGTAAACTAGAACACTTACAGTAGTCCTACTAATGGTTAGATCCAGCTATAAGCGACTAGCTTGAGTTAACTGTGAACATAGTGAGTGTGAAAGTCTGCTGAGGTGCACTGAAGCTTGATTCCCATTTAAGACAAATTATAAATGTCAAATTTTCTTCTATTTACATACTGTAGGTTATTAACTTATAGTGAATATGTCAAGTGCATCAGATATGGTGCTGTACTGTAAAACAAGTAAATTCAGTTGCAAGCAGACGTAAATTTGTACGTATTTAACATAAACCACCATCATGCTGTTTGATTTTGGTGCCTAAACTGAACACAGTTGAGACAACATTAACGTTAATGTTCAGTGCACGACCAAAGCTCTTAAAATGTGCAACTTCTATTTGACATCTAACCAGACGAGGCTTAGATAACTGAGATAGCGGGATTGCTCACCTTTAGAGGTTAATCTGGATATTGTACTATTCTCATTAAAGCTACCTTGACTGCAAAGCCGTGCAAATACAACACTGATTAAAAAATCTTACCTAGATTGTCATAGCTCTGAAGTCTGAAGCCTGAAACACCTTAACACCTTAATGACTACGTCAAATAATCAAGGTCACTGCTGCAATTCTGGTGGGAAATCTCCCAATCCAAGGTCGTTATTGATTATTGTCAGCCCTGATGAAATTATAATGTCTGCCTGTCAGTGTGGAGTCTCTGCTCTCCTGTGGGATGAACAAAAATGCAAAGGTTGTGCATTATAAAAGATGGTTGAGGTCATTAGTATAGACAGAACTACAGGCAGAAGAGGAGCCTTATTCTTGCAGCTCACAGGGGGAACAACTGCTGTGCATCCCACCCAAGGTCAACACTTGTGGCCCGCGAGAAGTCAGATGTTTGGTGAAAGCCTGGAGGTTTGACCTTCACGTCAGCCTTCCTGCTGGTGGCTCAGTTAAGCTTAAATGGCAAACATGAGCGGAATTCCAGAGTGCAACAACAAAGTACGAGAAAAACAATATCATCATGTTGGTCTCTGAGGGATCTGCTGCTTCATTTAATGAGAGCTCTGGTGAATTAGTGCTGAATCTTGTAGAGAATCTCAAGAGTCATTGCAATGTGAGTTAAGCTTGTGTTGGCACAAGAGGAAATTAATCAATTACAAGAGCCTTGTGGCCT